GGCCATCAGGCCCAGCCTACTCAGCAACTCCATTATTTCTGCTACCATATGGTTAGGCAGGGTATCCTGGGATCCCTCAAAAAGATCCCTATGATGGGCAGCAATGAAAGCTTTGCAAGAGAAATGACTTAAAAGCTGAGCCTTAGTACTGTTGAGCCCTCAGGCCAGGAAGAGGCAAAGTGGGTGAACAAAGGGACCACTTCCTTACACCATACACAAAAATAAATTCAAAATGGATTAAAGACCTAAATGTGAAACCTGAAACCATAAAAATCCTAGAAGGGAACACAGGTAGTAACCTCTTTGACATCAGCTGTTGCAACTTTTTTCTAGATATGTCTCCCAGCAAAAGCAAAAGTAACTATTGGGATTACATCAAAATAAAAGGCTTCTGCACAGCAAAGGAAACAATCAACAAAATTAAAAGAGAACCTACTGAATGGGAGAAGATATTTGCAAATGACATATCAAAAAAAGGGTTATTATAAAAAATACATAAATAACTTAAACAAATCAAACCCAAAAAACAAATAATCCAATTAAAAATGGACATAAGACATGAACAGACATTTCTCCAAAGAAAACACACAGATGGCCAACAGACACACGCAAAGATGCTCATCATCACTTATCATCAGGGAAATGCAAATCAAAACTGCAATGAGATACCACCTCACACCAGTCAGAACAGCTAAAATCAGCAACACAAGAAACAACAGGTGTTGGTGAGGATGTGGAGAAAAAGGAAAAGGAACCTTCCTACACTGTTGGTGGGAATGCAAACTGGTGCAGCCACTGTGGAAAACAGTATGGAGTTTCCTCAAAACATTAAAAATAGAATTACCTTAGGAACCAGCAATCACACTACTGGGTATTTACCCAAAGAATACAACAACGCTAATTCAAAGCGGTATGATAGCAGCATTGTTTACAATAGCCAAGATATGGAAGCACCCCAAGTGTCCATGGCTAGATGAATGGATAAAGAAGATGCGGTACAGATATACAATAGAATATTATTCCATAAAAACGAATGAAATCTTGCCATTTGCAAGGACATAGCTAGAGCTAGAAAGTATCATGCTAAGTGAAATAGTCAGAGAAAAGACCACATGACTACACTCACATGTGGAATTTAAGAAACAAAACAAAGAAGCAAAGGAAAAAAGAGAGAGAGAAATAAGCCAAGAAACACATTCTTAACTACAGAGAACACACTGATGGATACCAGAGGGAAGGTCGGTGGGGGGATGGGTTAAACAGGTGATGGGGATTAAGAAGGACACTTGTGGTAATGAGCACCAGGTGCTGTATGCAAGTGTTGAATCACTATATTGTACACTTGAAAGGAATACAACACTGCACGTTAACTGCCTGGAATTAAATAAAAACCTACAAAAAAGGAAAAGGAATGGGGTGAAGAGTGTGAGAAGGAGAAAGAGATGGGAACCTGGAGAAGGTGGGCAGGGGTCTTGGCAGAGACTGGAGAGGGATGGAGACCCAGGGAGGGGCTGCTATGCAAGACATCCCCAGCTTCAGTCTTTCCAACTGTTAAGTGGAGATTCTAATACTTTCTTCTCAGGATTTGAGTGAGAAATTGGTTGGATCTGTTTTCCCCAACGTGGGTTTTGCAAGGTGATTTTGGTTGAGCAGCATTCACGTTCACGGTTCTTTTGGTGTGCATTGGGGGAAAAAAATGAACAGAACTCCAGACTCATTCTATATATATATATATATAGCTTAGGGCAAAGATGCTTTCTTTTAAAAGTGAGTTGATTTATAGCACAGATGGTATGTGGAGAGAGTCACAATCCCAAAGGCAGCATGGGAGTGAGTGAAGGCGGGGAATAACAGAGTGAGAGGACCTCAACAGGGCATGTAGTACAATGCCAGGCATGGAATACATTGTCAAGAGAGGGATGGTAACAGTTCTTGTCAGCACTTCCAGGGCTGGGGCTGCTGGTGGGGAAGTGTGGATTAGTAGTGCCTGGCTCCCAACTGTTCAGCCGCAGCCAGGAGTTCAGCCTTTTTCCTTTTGGAGCTGAGCTGGGCTGGGCTGAGGCAACTGTGGAGAGCTGGCTTGGGGTAGGGAGGTTGGCCAAGTGCATCAGTGGAGTGGGGAGAGGGCTTGAGGGAAAATTGAGGGGAAAAGGGTGGACAGGGAGGGCTGGGGGTGGGTGGGCCTCCCCACCCCCACTCCCACCCTTCATCACCTTTGGCTTATGCTGACTGAAGTCTGGACAAAGGCCAGGGTAGGGAGCTCTGATTACAGCTGGAGAAGAACAGACAGGTTCAGCCCAGGGGCTAAGAGGAGGAGAGGCAAGGGATCATCCACCCTGCATCTAAGATTGAGTCTAAGAGAAGGGAGCAATGTAACCACAATGACATGGTGATGGCAGGGGCCACTTCCCCTGGGGGGCATTTCCATCCAAGCCCCTGGCTTTCAAGGAACTGACATTTTGGGGGGCTCATTAGGAATTCCAGCAGCGTCTGATGCACAACTCCAAACCCCAGTCCAAGAGCACTAAAGAGGTTTCAGAGTCAGGCCTATGGGGTCTGGGCTAAATACCAAAGCCCTCTGAATTTCCACTTTTAACATAAAGAAAATTTACTCGGGGCCCCTGGGTGGCTCAGTCGTTAAGCGTCTGCCTTCGGCTCAGGTCATGGTCCCAGAGTCCTGGGATCGAGCCCCACATCGGGCTCCCTGCTCAGCGGGAAGCCTGCTTCTCCCTCTTCCACTCCCCCTGCTTGTGTTCCCTCTCTCACTGGGTCTCTGTCAAATAAATAAATAAAATCTTTAAAAAAAAAAAAAAGAAAATTTACTCAGCCCAGGAAGGCCACAAAGACAAAAGACTTAAAGAACAACTAAATCATTTTGAGAAGTTTTTTTTTTTTTTCTTTTTAAGGGCTATTGAAACTTTAAGGATCATTTCTCTGCCATAAACCTAGTGGCTCCCTAGCACTCATTGAAGACAAAATTCCTAAACCCAGTCATTCTGAACTACAAATTGCTTAACCCCTTTGTTCTACCTGTAAAATGAGAATGTCATCAGTACCTGTTCAACAAGATAGTTGAGAGTTAAAATATTTAGAACTGTGCCTGACCGTAGCTGGTGCTGAGTGTGCTGTTCTTAGAAACACAAACCTGTTTCTCCCCCCATCAGGGCCTTTGCACACGCTGTATCCTTTGTTCAGAATGCTGGGCCCCAATCTCTTTACTTAGTTTACTTCCACTTTTCTTTCAATCCCAGTTCACCAGGGACTTCCTTATGAAAGGCTGTCCTTTTACCTTGAGTCCCCCCAGTCTTGGTCAGTCCAACTTTAACTAAATTCTTTCCTTCATGGTATTTATCACAGTGGTACATTATTTGCCTTACTCTTTGATGAATAACATCAGCCTCCCCACTCAACTGTAAACTCCACAAGGGTAGTGTCATGGGCTGAATCGTGTCCCCCCAAATTCATATGCTTAAGTCCTAATCCCCAGTACCTCAAAATATGGTTGTATTTGGAGACGGGTCCTTCAAAGAGGTGATTAAGTTACAATGAGGTCATCAGGCCCTCATCCAATCTGACTGGTGTTCTTATAAGAAGAGGAGATCAGGAGACAGACATATACAGAGGGAAGATCATGTGAGGACACAGGAGAAGACAGCCGTCTACAAACCAAAGAGAGAAGCCTCAGAATTAAACTAACCCTGCTGACACCTTGATCTTGGACTTCCAACGTCCAGAACCAAGGAAAGAAGGAAGGAAGGAAGGGAGGAAGGAAGGAAGGAAGGAAGGAAGGAAGGAAGGAAGGAAGGAAAGAGAGAGAGAAAGCAAGCAAGCAAGCCTCCCAGTCTGTGGTACTTTGTCAGTCCAGACAGATTAAAACAGGTGCTGACTGGGCTGGCTTTTGCTTATTGTTGCATTCCCAGAGCCCAGCACTGAGTAGGTGCTCAATAAATATTGATCGGTGGGTGAATGGAGATCTTGGGGTTTGGCTAAGCAGCACTGAAGATCACGTTGAGTTTCCATCTGCTTCGTCTCCGCATAGGGCTGGTCTCAGAGGCCCAGAGCCGCCTCTTTCTGTTTCTGGGACTGAGATGTGGTTTTGGGTCCTTGTGTATTTTGTGGTCACAACGTAATACACTAGTCTTTGAGGGATGATGTGTTGGAGGCAGAGTGTGGTTTGGGGGAATTGTTTCTTTAAGATAATTTTTTCATTACAATAGTTACACATGCTCACTGAGAAAGCTTGGAAAATAGAGAAACGCAGAGGAAAGGAGAAAACTATCATCCACTATTTTCAATACTTTTAACATAAGTATTTCCTTTCAGGCTTTTTTTCCATAGTTTTTCCTTTACGTTTCAAAGTTATGGTTCTCCACTACACATATATTATTTTTATTATGACTTAAAATTAATTTAGCTCAAGGTGGCCCCAAGGCATATTTTTAAAGGTCACATAATATGTTATTGAGTTAATCTACTACAACTTAATCATTGTCCTATTGGTTGGACATTGATTTTTTTTCCTTTTTCCTTTTTTTTTTTTTTTACAGTTTTAAACAATGTTCAAGTAAATATCCTTGAATCCTGTCTTTTGTAGTGATTACCAAAGATGGAATTTCTGAGCAAAAGGGTAGGACCAATTTTTCATGGCCCTGGATATGATTATCAAATGGCTTTATCAAAAGGATCAAGTGGTTACACCCCCACCGGCCCTGAACGACCGGCAGTGAATGAGATCACAGGAGCCCTGACTTTATGGTGACCTGTCCTTCAGAGCATCAGCTGCTGAGATTGCCTTCAGAGAGAGGAGGGGGAAGTCAAGGCATCAAACATATGCTAGACTGGCAGGGGCTGTGCACTCTGGGCTAGTGACATTCTTCCACTCTCTTCCAGGCTCCTCCCAGCGATTTTGGAGATGCCCATTTGAAACTGAAAGCCTTTGATGTCCATAGGGTTGAAGGGATGATGCTCCAAACAAGGACTAACCAGTGATCCCAACAGTTCCTCTTAGAAGCTTCAGAGGCCTATCGGGCCTTTCGGGGGTTGCCTCTCAACTCCCCCCACTCTTGGCTTCTCAATTTATTCCTTTGGATCTTTCCAGAAACCGTCTTGGGCAATTCTGAAACAAAGGCCACCTAGTGACCATAAAACAAAAACAGTTTGAAATCATCATTTCCTAGAAAGACTTATGACTTCATACCCTCTGTCACTTTGTTGGAAAGCCTCCATAATTCATAGTTTTCTCTAAATGGCAATGACCAAAATGGCTAGTCTGGGGCACATGACCTTGCCCGCAGAGATTCAGCACAGCACCATCCCCCCCACCCTCCCACCCCCCAAATCCGGTGTCTGTCACTTCTTAGAGTAGGAATAAAATGTGGTTTGGGGAGGGTCCAGTGAGGAAACAGGGAGAAAAGGCTGAAGGAGAAGCTCGGTTATTTGTACCTTCATCACGCACCCCCCACCCCGGGCTTGGCCCTGACTGAGAGCCAATGTAGTGTGTGCTCAGGGGATTTCTCAGCTCATCAAGTCCTAGAACCCCTGATGTTTACCTTCCTGGGGTACTTGTATGGAGCGGTCACCCTTTTCACATGCTCTTGGAGCTCCTGGGTTAGTTTCTTAGGATCTTGAGAGGAGTAAGCTGGAGAAAGGACAATAAATGCCTTCACCACCTGCCAGAAGAAAACAAAAACAAACCCTCCAAAATCAGAAAGAATCAGGCCCTTTATAACAACTTTTTCTTTCTTTTGCCACCTAAGCATGAAAGTCCTACCAGCTCCTCTGGCTCAACCAGCAAAATGGACAACACCATTTTTTTTCCCCTGTTGCCTCCATTCCAGGATCAACTATTGGAAACACTGGCTTTTGTGGAATGATTCCAGGATTCTACCTATTCCCCAAACTGCTCCCCTCTCCTGATATAACAACATGAGTAGCCAACGAGCTTCTTTTCTGATGCAAATACTTTGTGGAGAAAGGAGCTTCACAAACTCCTCAGGGTCCATTACTTCCAAATCGTTCTCACTGGAAAATTAGCAGAGGCTTGAATAGGCAGGATTGGGAATAATGCACACCACTTCCAAGGGGAGGTGTGTATTTCTGAGCCTGCACGTACAAGTGTTTGCAACCAGCAAACATTTTGCTGCACAGCTTCAGTGCCCTCTGTCCTGAGGGGACATTCTGTACCTTGGTTGTTTCTGCCTGAGCCTTTCTTTGCAGGCTGCCTCCCACCAAGGACGAGGAGTACAACAGAACATGGTTTCTGACAGGAGTGGAAGAATTCAAAGGCCAGTAGCCTGCTACCCACCTCAGCATACAGCTCTGTCAACAACATCCTGTTAGGTGGGGGTTCACCATCTTTGCATGCTTCCTAAAGGTGGGCATCTCACTACATTTCACTTTCAGATAGATCTGGTTATTAGGAAAGGCTCTCTCTGATTGTTAAAACTACCAAACATTTATTGAGTATTTTCTATGTGCCAGGCTCTGTTCTGAGTACTATATGTAGATTAACCGCACACAGCCATTTGTCACAACCCCAGCTAATTTGGGGTATACAAAGCTAGGTGTACTTTTCCAGGTGTGATTTCTCCAGAATATACATAGGGCTCCCACCTTCCTTATTCTACATCATTGGCCTCAAAGTTTAATTGGCATCAGAATCACTTGGCTAAACAGACACATGAAAAAGTGCTCAATATCGCTCGGCATCAGGGAAATCCAAATCAAAACCTCAATGAGATACCACCTCACACCAGTCAGAATGGCT